GCCTGCTTGTGCAAGCTTGGACTTGGCAGCTTGAAGCTTCGCTTCGGTCTCCTGGAGCCTTCGCATGGCTTCGGTATCCTGTTTTACAGGACACTGAGCCTTGAGTTTATCGGCTATGAACTGAACTAAAGGTGCCATAAACTCAATCGGTTTGTCCGTGCGATTGGGAATGCCCTGCTGGGGGGCCAACTGGCGATGGAGGCTTTCAGCCGTAGCATCGATATCAATTCCTTGATCACGGAATGTCTTCAAAATTTGGGAACCAAACACAGATTCAGCAACAGATTTCGCACAAATAATTCCAACAAATCTACCCTCACTGAGCGCTCGCAGCGCTGCTTCATCAGGTCCATGTCGAGTAAGATGACTGAGCGGGACGGAAAGTGGATCTTGGCCAGCAAGATTCCTCTTGCGGCTCCATGCAGTCGGTTGAATTGATCTGTACAAACGGTAACCATATTGAACTTGATCATCCCAACATTGACTCGTGCTGCGCCAATTTGATGGTAAACTCACGGGCGGACTCGAAGACGGAGGCGGAGGTGGAGGAGACTGCTGCTGCTGCCATTGATTGTCCCAAGAGTTCCATTGGGACCTGTTCCAATACGACATGGCTGACAACGGAGAAGTTAACACGTCAACAGGAAGCCTAAGAACCCAAAACTGCAGCTATAACTGAAATGACAAAAATTGAAAAATCTGCAATTGGATGCGGCACGTTGATTCAACGCAGCATTCTGATGTATCGTCTTGTTGGACAAAATGGATCACAATTCCGATTGAGTTAAAATATGTACGTCTAAATCACAAATCGGAATGTATGGGTTGTCCATGCGGTTTTTTGGACATCTCAGCAAATGTCGATCGCACATGCAACGAAAATGAATTAAGCATACCGGTAACAAGTCTGATGGAGAAACGGGCAGTTCATATTGAAGCAAAATTCCAATCAGACAAAAAAGAAAATGGTAAAAACAGCAAGGTTCAAAACGGAGTAGGGAATTAGTCTAGTGGGCTTTCAGCTGCCACTCTGAATGCAAAACCTAAGAGTTTGTGGGAGTTTTCATTAGTGACCCACATACGTCCTCTTTGATGGTGGACGCATCCGCCATTCATGGTTTTCTGTACGCATTCCCATTCTCCCCCTTGCTTTACGGCCTCAGCCGTTCCCCATCCTACCGCTACTGCCAGAATGTTACTTGTATTCTTTGCAGCGTACCATGCTGCATGTGTGATTCTGGCCATTTCTTTGTCATCCCAAGCTCTGTCGTTGGTTCTTTTTGATCCAAGACTGAAAAATGAGCAAGATTGGTTGTTGTGTAAACGGCTAGGTCCGATCTTTTGATCAGAAAAAATGCCTTTGATGCCTCCAATACTGCTAGCATGAACCAAATTCACATGTTGTACTTCCTGGAGGTTCATCGCAGGTGCAGCTCGTACTGGGTCTGGTATTTCTCTTTGAGAGAAATGTCCTTTGATAAGGTAATAATGACTCTTGCCCAAATCAGTAGGATGATGTTCATGATCTTGAGGGTCATAAACAAGCAACTTCATTGTGGACAAATGATCAGGAGTATACCTGGTGGAGTCCAGAATTTGTGCAACGAATTTCACCATACTGTCCATCATCGGGTAGTCATCATCTTGATGATTTTTTAACCAAGATCGAATATTTGCCTGGTTCGGAGTGACTGGCTGACTGGTTGGTGTCATTTCGTGACGTCCTGAGCGATCTAATAGAGGGAAGGCTGAAAACGGTCTCAAGGGAGGAGGAGCAGGAACTCTGGGAGGAGGAACATGCGCTCTGGGAGGAATGTTTCCAACATACAGGTCCCAAAGACCAGTATGAATGTCCCATTGACCTGGTGGAGGACGGAGAGCTTGAGAGAAAGAAGAACGAGCCGTTCTAACTGACCTACCTCTTTCAGATCTCGAAGTGGACCTCGGAGAATGGTGATCACGATGATGGTGACGGTGATGGGATGCTCGATGACGACGTCTTGTTCTGGATCTGGAGCAACTTGATGTTGTGCGTCTTTCCTGTTTGTCATCATCTGTTCCAACCGGCACCGCAGGTTGGACTGCTGACGGTCGACGAGGTACGGAGATCGTTCCTGGAATTGCGGCTGGGGCTGCTACCGGAGTTGCTGGAGGAGCATGTGGTGTCAATGCCAGTCTTACTGCTGGCTTCGCCGGTGCTTTCGGTGGCCGAGGTGGAGTCGGGTCCACGTTGCCGGCCACAAAGTAAACATTATACACCGGAGTCGACATGGCTCAGAAATCTAGAGAAAGGAAAATGGAAAATGTGTTGTCTAATATGACAACTTGTTAACTGTACAAGGATTGATCAGTTAGACAACTAACAAGTGATAACGTATTGTTGCTTGCTCAACTGTACACCAAAAGGCATTCATGTGTACAAACACAATTCATCCATTTGGAATTCAATGCTGAGGCTTCAAGTGTGGAATTCAGAAAATTCATCTTATTGGTGACTATCAGTCGCCAAAATTGTCAAAAGTCAAATTCAAGTTCAAACTCAGTGGATTCAAGCTATTTTTGCCGGATAGCATACCGGGATCTATTCTCTCAAATGCACGCTTTGTGTCAGAGACACACGTTCAATCATTGCAATGAGCCACCGTGGCTGAATTCAAGAGTCAAATTCACTTGTGGATTCTTGCACCCCCAGGGGAGATACGACGCCTGGAATTCCAGGATCACGACCGGACTTTGACAGATCCCACGGCCGAAATACACACTTGCGAAGTCATGAAAGACGGTCTCTTTTCATGAATGCAAAGTCTGATTACCTCATGGTAGATTGAAGGCATCACTCGGCCATACCGAGTTAAAAAGGCCAAGCTTATCCGTTGACATTTGAATGTCAGGTTGTTTAAAAGAGAAACCAATACGACTCAATCAAACGTGATCATGAAATGACTGAATGACGGCATGCAGGTTTTTTGGGTTAGCCTGATCCCATAAAGTACTAACAGATACGAATATGACCACCAGCTATGACCCCAACATATTGGGTATGTCATCCAGGTGCATCATGCAGGTACGTTTTCACAACCTAAGGTGAGTGTCTTCATTGGCACAAGACTCACCAAAGGTCCTTGTGCCCCCTGCTATGAATTAAAATGCAACGGTATCCAAAATTTATGGTGGAAAGCAGTTGAAAACTAGTTGGTTGGAATCAGTCGCAAGAAAGTGAGGAACTCTTTGGTACAGAGCTTGACACACACACATACACACACACAGACATACATTACATTACATTACATTACATTACATTACATTACATTACATTACATTACATTACATTACATTACATACATTGCATACATTGCATACATTGCATACATTGCATACATTGCATACATTGCATACATTGCATACATTGCATACATTGCCATACATTAACATACATTACATACATTACATACATTACATACATTACATACATTGCATACATTACATACATTCCATCCATTACAAATTACATACATTACATACACATACATTAGATCATTACATACACTACATACATTACATACATTACATACACAACCTTACATACATTACAGACATTACATACATTACATACTTAAATGCATTTGCATACATTGCATACATTACATTTGCATACATTACATACATTACATACATTACATACATTACATACATTACATACTTACATACATTACATACATACATACCTTACAGACTTACATACATTACATACATTACATACCTTAAATGCATTACAGCATTACTGCATTACCATACATACATACATTACCATACATACATACATTACCATACATACATACATTACCATACATACATACATTACCATACATACATACATTACCATACATACATACATTAGCATACATACATACATTACCATACATACATACATTACCATACATACATACATTACCATACATACATACATTACCATACATACATACATTACCATACATACATACATTACCATACATACATACATTACCATACATACATACATTACCATACATACATACATTACCATACATACATACATTACCATACATACATACATTACCATACATTACATACCTACATACACTACATACATTACATACATACATACGTACATACATACATACATCCATACATCCATACATCCATACATTACATACATATTACATACATTACATGCATTACATGCATTACATGCATTACATACATTACATACCATACATACATTACATACATGCATACATATACATTACATGCATACATTACATGCATACATTACATACATTACATGCATACATTACATCCATACATACATTACATACATTACATACATTACATACATTACATACATTACATACATTACATACATTACATACATTACATACATTACATACATTACATACATTACATACATTACATACATTACATACATTACATACATTACATACATTACATACATTACATACATTACATACATTACATACATTACATACATTACATACATTACATACATTACATACATTACATACATTACATACATTACATATACATTACATTACATACACTACATACACTACATACACTACATACATTACATGCATTACATACATTACATACATTACATACATTACATACATACATACATACATACCTACATACCTACCTACCTACCTACCTACCTACCTACATACATACATACATACATACATACCAACCATACATACATACATACATACATACCAACCATACATACATACATACCAACCATACATACATACATACATACATACTAGGTATGTATATGTACCTATATATATATACACACTATAATATACATACACATTTATATATATGTATAAATACATACACATTTATATATATATATACAGATGTATAAATGTATTTTCATACACACACACATATCACCATTGTGCCACAAGTCAGCAGCCGCTGATTGTCTCGCTGAGGATGTGGGTTTCACCTGCTACACGCTCTTTTGCTGGGGCTCCACGATCAGCTCGCTTGGGGTCCACTTACCGGCGCTGAATGAGGAGATGAAAGCGGCATCCAAGGAACCATGGCCCTTGAGAGTCTTTGGAAGGAAAGGTACCTCGATCTGATTCATCATTCCGGTTCGATCATTCTTTATATATTTCCCCAATAGCGATAGCTTGGGGTTGTTAACTCTAAAGGCGGATGGGCGCCGTCGGGTTTACGGCTGCCGGCCTGGGCGATGTCTCGGTGGTGTGGGGTCTCGGGTGTCTCGGTGGTGTCTCGGTGGTGTCTCATTGGTGTTTTGGCAGTTTTGGTGGTGTGTCGGTGGTATCTCGGTGGTGTCTCGGTGGTGTCTCGGCCGTGTCTCGGTGGTGTCTTGGTGGTGTCTCGGTGGTGTCCGTGCTGTCTCGGTGGTGTCTTGGTGGTGTCTCGGTGGTGTCCGTGCTGTCTCGGTGATGTCTTGGTGGTGTCTCGGTGGGGTTTTGGTGGTGTCTCGGTGGTGTCCTGGTGGTGTCTTGGTGTGTCTTGGTGGTGTCTTGGTGGTGTCTCGACGGTGTCTCGGTGGTGGTCTCGGTAGTGTCTCGGTGGTGTCTCGGTGGTGTTTTGGTGGTGTCTGGGTGGTGTCTCGGTGGGGTCTCGGTCGTGTCGGTGGTGTCTTGGTGTTTCGGTGGTGCGTCGATGATGTCCCGGTGGTGTCGCTGGTCTCGGTGGTGTCTTGGTGGTGTCTCAGCGGCTTCCATGTTGATTCAAGGTGTTCACGGTGTCTTGGTCGTATCTTGGTGGCGTCGTGTTGGTGGTGTCGGGGCGCTTGTGTTGGTCCGTTGGTTGTGCCATGCACCCGGTAGTCTTCAACGGTTGCATGCTGTGACTGTCATGACGACAATGGCGACGACGACGACGATGATGGTGACGATGATGACAATTATGATGATGATGATGATGGTGATGATGATGATGATGATGATGACGACGACGACGATGATGATGATGATGGTGATGATGATGATGAGGATGATGAGGATGAGGATGATGAGGATGAGGATCAGGATCGTGATGATGATGATGATGAAGATGAAGCGGAGGATGATGATGATGTCGGTATCGATATCGATATCCTTATCGATATCGATGACGGTGGTGATGAGGAGGACCTTGACGATGACGACAACGAAGACGATGACGATGTGACGACGACCTTGCGTTTGCAGGTTTGGGTTGAAGTGGGGGGAGGGACGGATGTTGACGTATGTTATGAAGTAACTTACGGAGTATGATGCTTCTACCGAAGCAACTGCGGACATTCCCTCCGTCCATGCAGCAACCAAGGCAGTGGGCTGCTCACCTCATCAGAGGAGTTGACATACCTGTTGCATGCTAAACTTGCACCGAGACCCTCACGCAAATCTATCAAAGGAAAAAGGTAGTAGAATAGAAAACCAACAGGAAAATAAGGACATAATCCCGACAGGAGGAAGGAAAAGAAAGAGGGAGGGAGGGAGGGAGGGAAGGAAGGAAGGAAGGAGGACCAGGAGGACGGCAGGAAGAAAGAAACCAAGGCCTAGCTCCAAACTGCTGCGTGCACTTTCCCATGTACACATGTTACTTTCAAAGAGTTGCAGGTCCCAAGCAACTTGCAAACGTTGGTTTCAAAATGCGGCAAAGACCGTGCAGTTTACAGATGTTAGCCGCAACACACTGCAAACACCATGCCACGTTGTGCAATCTGCAGATGATAATTTCAAGATGTTGCGAATACTGTCCACTTGCAGGTTTGAGCTTCAGAAAGTCGTAAAAATAGCATCCAATTGACAGACATCAATTTCAAAATGCTGCGCGTGCCATGCGGTTTATCAGTGATAGTTGCAATACTGCAAAGACTATGCGATGCAATAACATTTGCACCAGTATGCTGCACATACTGTGCAAGTGATAGTTTTTTGGTTTCCAGAAACTGCGAACATTCTACAGTGTGCAGATTTTTTGCTTCAGAGCGCCGTGAACATCACAGCACAGTTTGCAGATATGATCCCATATCTTGCAACTACCATGCAATTTGCCATAATTTGCCAATGTTAGCTTTGCACTGCTGCAAATATTACCCGATGGCAAAGCTCCGTGCAATGAACTGATGTTGCATCATGCCATGCAATGTACGGGTGCTAGCTGCAGAATGCTGCAAATACCGAGCAAGTTTGCGGCAGATTCTACGCAGCTTAGAGATTCTAACAGCAAACGACCAACATATGGTACACCGATACTTTTTTACACAGAGGTGCTTTCACAAAGACATGTTTTCACACATGGATTTGCACATACACGTGCTTTTACCCAGGGATGGTTTTACACGCAAATACCTTCATGCGCAGGTGTTCTTACACAGGGATGCTTTTATACAAAATAACTTTTGCACACAGACGCGTGGGTAATTGTACACACAGATGCCTTTAAACGGCGATGCTTTTACAGAGGAATGCTTTTACACGCACGTGCGTTTACACAGGGCTTCTTTTGGCACAAATTAGCTTTTACACACAGAAGATTTTAGGGTAAATACTCTTACGCACAGATGTTATTTACACAGACAAACATTTGTACAAAGGCGTTTTTTTAGACACATATACTTTTACAAAAAGGATTTTTGCACGGATACTTTTACGGAGAGAGGCTTTTACACACAGGCGCTTTTAGACTAGGACGCATCTAGGAAGAGGCACTCTTACATGGGTGGCTGGAAACGCGATTTGGGAGGGTTCAGGCCATTTGGGAATCAAGTTTTCAGCCATGCTGCTTTTACAGAGAGATGCGTTTACATACAAGGGCTTCTGCACAGGGAGGGGGCTTCACAAAGAGATGGTTTTACGCAGAGAGATGATTTTACAAAGGGATGCTTCTACTTACAAATTTTCTTACACAGAGATACTTTCAACACAGAGATGCCTTTACACACGGGTGCTTTAAGATACAAACATTTTTACACAGAGATGATTTTGCTAAGAGAAACTTTTAGACACAGGCGGGTTTTCACACGAGTACCTTTACACCTTTACACACAGATGTTTCTACACATGTGTTTTTACATGTTAACAGGTCTACAATACACACTGCTTTACGAACACTTTTTTTTACGCTGAGATTCGTTTACACGCAAGCACTTTTACGCAGAGGCACTTTGACACAGTGGCAGGCACGTTTACATGCAAATACTTTTACACGGCGGTGTTCACTTTGCGTGCGTTTTCTTTACATAAACGCATGCTCTGTCACAGGGATGCCTTTGATCACGCATGCTTTTACACAGATATTCTTACACGGAGACACCTTTGCACAGAGAGACATGCCTTTTTACACGCAAATACTTTTACAGAGAGATGATCTTACACTGAGCCATTTGACACAGAAACCAAAACAAACAGAGGTGCTTTTACAGAGGAATGCATGTGCACAAAGGGCTTTTGTCTACGGGCATTTTCACACAGACATACTACTGAATTATTTCCTGTGGCGGACGCGCGTATGGCGCAAAGAGTTCAGCAAGCACATGCAAAATCACAGTTTCACCACAGCTTTTGATGGTCGAGACGCATTTCGTGGGAAAGGGTTGGCCCAGGACAAACCCACATTGCAATTTGACCTCAATGTATGACGATCGACATGTCGTGCGACAGGGTTGCGTTTCCTGGACATCAATCCACACTGCCCTGCCGCTCGAAGAGAAAAAATAGAAACAATCAAGGTTGTAGGTGTCTGTAAGAAATTGATCTCCACCTGCGTCTTTACATCTGCCACTCCACACCTGCATATACCCACTTCTCGTTTCCAAAAAACGATTTCCGCCTGCATCTGTAAATCTTCCGCACTACACCTGCGTATGGCATATATTCGTTTGGTAGCTGTGTTAAAGAAGATTCTGTCAACCTGCGTTTTTGAATCTGCGCCTAGACACCTGTCAGTAAGAATCATGCTTGCATCTACACCTGTACAGATAAATTTCATGTTGTAGATGTGTTAAAGTGAGGAAGAAGAAGATGATTATGATGGTGATGATGACTACTACTGATGATGATGGTGATGATGATGATGATGATACGGGCATGGTTCATGAAAAAAAGAAAATGCTGATGATGAAATAGAAGAAAATGATGCTGATGATGATGATGATGGTGATGATGATGATGATGATGAAGATGAAGAAAAACGTGATGATGATGACGATGATGACGACGGTGTTTTGACGATGGTGGATGTCTGTACTGACGGTGTCGTGATGATGGTGATGGGAAACATGATATTATGACAAAGTATGCTGGCAGCAACATTTTGGGAAAACAAAAGCCCTTCGCGGGCCCTTTCGGGAATTGGTTGTGTCTGTCCTGATGGTTGATGGTGTTTGTCCTCCTGCTGGTGTCTTGGTGGTCTTTCAATTGTGTTTCGGTGGTCGTTGGCATCTTGGTGGCACTTTGGCGGTGTGTCCATAAGTGTTGACGGTGTTCAGTGATGTTTTGAGTCTGGCTCATGTTTTCGTGGTGTTTCTGTGGTGTTTTGGCGGTGTTCCGGTGGTGTTTTGGTGGTATTGAAGAAACGGTATTTTTGTGGAGTAAAATGGTTCCCCGGGCAATACCAAATTGGCGTCAACGGAGATGTGAAACTTTGCTATTGGGGTTGTATGCTGGGTTAATTTCTTATTTTAAAATTTATGCTCGATTATTTTTGATTACTTTTCTTCATCAACTTAAAACCTATTTTTCACATTTTTAGTTATTTTGAAAATTTACCTTTCAATCTCATTTTAAATTGCCCATCTTTAAGCCTCGGTGATGCGTGTCGGATTTTGAATCACCCTTTAGAATCCAACGTGACAAACGCTTCTTCATAAACTTTTGAATCAATTTGTGCTACTTTTTGTCCTCGATTCTGATGTGACTTTGCAAGGTACTGCCGTCGCAATGTTTGTGATCCAGTTGGTATTTGTGGTATGCTTTGTGCTTGGCCAGTATTGGTCGCTTGCCTCTGGCAAGACTGAGCTGGCAAGACTAAGCAAGCCAGATGAACGAGCCTGGAGTCTTCCAAGAGATAGGTAGTTCAGTACTTTCTGTGTCCAGAGAACTTCTCTCCTACATCAAACTAAGTGTTGAGTCCCATGCAAATGAACCACATCATTTGCCAGTCCACATGTACTCTGCAAGCTGCAGGTGCCACAGGTTCAGTAGGATCACTAGTCACTAGATATCAATAGGCCCTTGAACATATCTCAAACTATCAACTATCAACATCTATCACCTGGAGAGAGAGAGATATATATATACATAAAATCTATTATATTATATCATATTATATCATATCATATCATGTTATGTTATATTATATTATATTATATTAAATTATAATGTTATATCATATTATATTATATTTTTAAATTATATTATATTTTATTTTAGTATATTATATTATATTGTATTATATTATACTATATTATATTACATTATATTATATTATATTATATCATATTTATACTATATTATATCATATTTATATTATATTTATATTTATATTTATATTTATATTATATTATACGATATTATATCATATTATATTTTATCATATTATATTTTACTAAATTAAACTAAAAAATATAAAACATATATATTATATACTTTGTTTAATTGTTTTTTTTATATATTATATTATATTAAATAATATTTTATTATATCATATTATAATTTACTATATTTACATTGATATTTACATTAATATTAATATTAATATCATATTATATGATATTATAGTATATGATATTATATTATATTTACATTTATATTTACATTTAATTTGATATTTATATTTGTATTTATATTATTTTCTATTATATAACATTTTTTCTTTTATTTAAAAGTTACTCTATATAATATCTAATACTATATTATCATAGTTTATATTATATGGTAATATAAGTTATTACATTATATTTTACTTTTATACTATATTACATCTGTATATTTTATTATATTTTTATATTATATCGTTTTTTTATTTAAATTGTATTATATTACATTATATTATTATGTATTTTTTATATTTTATTAATTCATGTTATATTTTATTAGATTATATATTTTTCTATGTTTTGTTATATTATATTATATTTTTGGTTTTGTTTTTTTAATATTATTTTATTTTTTCTTTTTATACTATATTATATTATACTATATTATATTATATTATATTTTATTTTATGTTATTATATATATATATATTATATACATATACCCAACTATCAGCATCTATCAACTACGTTTCTTTCCGATGGCCACCTTCATTTTTTTCCGGGTCCGGGTCGTGCTGCTGGAGGTCGTGTCTGGGCCTTCGCCTAGATCAAAACATCTTGGCAAACAATGGGCTTCCACAGTGGCAGATAGGTCGGTTCCGCACGGCAAAAATAGGCGTACACGACTTTTCTATGTCTTTTGGGGTTACTATGGGTTACTCTTTTTCATTATGAATCAAACTCGCGAAGGTTTGCATTCTCCACCCTAAGGCATGTAAGACCTTGGATAGGTGTGCTTATTCATGCATAGCCGTGCGATAAACAAGGTCTGCGCCCCTTGCTTCCCTGTGCAGATGTCATGGTCAATCTTCATGTGGCTGAGCATGCCAAAGCAGACGTGACTATCTTTCAGTGTATCGACGCTCGTTTTTTTCAGCAAGTCCTGCAAGCTGATGGGGCGGATCCCCATCTTTGGTTTTTGTTTCCTTGGTTGTGTTGTCTTCATTCTTTGATAGTTCAAACTATACACTTTCTGAGTTGTATTGTCAATACATGTGAATTCGAAGTCTTGTGTAGCATTGAGAGTCTGTACTTTGCCGAGCATATCCACCGTCTAGAATCACTGCAATTCCCTACAGATATGATTAGCACCTTTCCCCTGCCATTTATGTGGCTCTGCAGCCAGTTTGTTTCCCCAAGAATAGTTTGAAGCTGACTCTTGAGATCCATGCATCCACATGTACCCTCGAAATGACGTTGGAATGCCATTGGTCTCCAGACAAAAATGATTTGGACCGTGGATGTTCGTTTCCAGATTGGTTTCGTACATGTTTATATGTAGACAAAAAGTTCTGGTCTAAGTGAATGCATATGTATACACATGGATTCCTGGTTCACTGACGAACTGCGCTGAGGATATGTTGCTGAAGACGCAGGCTGAGTGTTTCGATCCTTTGCGCGGCAAGACCTCCTTGGTAAAGAGATAGAACCCTCTCCTCTGACACAGCTTTTGCAGGGATGTAATATAAGCATGTGGGATTGCCTCGAAATAATTCGAACATATTCGATCTATGGAACCCCAAAAAAAACCACTTGCTTCATCCTGCCGTGGATATGGCCATTTGGGTACCAGAAACTCCGAGATACTCCGAGCCTCTCAGGATGCCAATGCGATTCTGTCCATCATCATGTTGGCGGTCTTCGTTCTTGGACTCACTCTGCTGGACCCATGGTCATTTGGATATGAAAAGGGGTATACCCTCCAAATTGCCACGTACTGCAATGGTGAATATGATGATAAACCATTGGAATTGAAGACAAACCGACTCGCATTCTTTGCTAAACCGTCATGCACCAGTGGTGTTGCGGAGGTAAAATGATTGCCGTTTTGCCGTCCACAAATTACACGTGTGTGCGTGTGCATGTGCGTCAAAGGCCCCTTAGTCAAAGCAGGTAAGGGATCAGGTTGCCAAGCATTTTCTTGTCCACACTTAGATTTCTCCGGCCATCCCCTAACTTTTCCGCACCAATGACACTTTAACCCAGAATTATGCCCAGAAAGCGCAACAGAACATGCTCCACACATCAGCTTTTAACGACATGCTTTACACACTGCAAATGCAGCACATCCTCTACGATTTACAAGCAACATCGATCCCTGTTTTCTCAAAGCATTTTCGGAAATTTCTTTCAACATTTGATCTGATATCGGTGCAGAATATATTTGAGCAACTGAAACTTTTTGCTAAGTCATGCCTTGGAGCTCTAGTCAATGCAATCCATCTGCACGGAAGTGATACAGTAGGGCATGACTTGAGATTCTTGACCCTCTTCTTGGGATGTAAAACAACAGACTGACCAGCCATTTGTGGCTCCCAAAGTCATGAACGCCAGAGAATCAGCCACGAGCCTTTTGGCGCCAGGACATGATGGTTTTGTCCGTGGCAAGCTTTCAGATATTGTCCAGCCCCGAAAACTCTGAGGCGCTGCGGTGAAACCAAGGGATTCAGCGGCTCAAAGATGGGCAGCATTTTGCGCCAATGACTAGTGCTGATAGTAACCATTCAAGTTTCAAGATATTTTTAGCAGCAACCTTGCGGAAATTCCTATAGCAAAGCAGCTAATGTTTTTTTTTCACCGCCATTTTTTTGTGCACCGTGTCACAGGACAATCGCTGCAACCTGATCACTTTGACAAAGCATTTGAAGAAGCTCGCCATGCTGGACGTGCTAATCCTTGGCATTGTTGTTGTGGTGCTCAGCGGCTCAGTGTACAAGAAACAAGGCAAGGCCGCGTGTCTGAAAATGGGAATATTCCTAAATGGCATTAAATTGCCATGTATAATAATGGGGAACATGATGATCAACTATCCAATTTCGGATATCCTATGTTCAGACAAACCCATGTATGGTTTATTTATGTATGTTTATGTATACCGTATATTTATGTTATTTATGTTACCCACGGTAGTTTGAATATTTTGGATTCCAAATCAGTTTGGCTGGCTCTTTTGACTGCTCGATTAAGGAAGCAAGAGCGAGTGAATGCTTGCTTTCTTTTATCTACCAACATGGCCATATCACGTAAGAAAATAGATGACTCTCAGACTCTCTCCTTCTTTGTCTATATGTGTCTATATGTATACACACAACATATTTGAGTCGCTTCGCGACGATTACCGCCTGCGCCCAGTGAATCGGACAGATAGGGAAGAAGCGGGCTCGTGGCAGCCGACTGGGGTCAAACTTGGCCGTCCTTGGCCTAAGTTTAGCCGAACACAAGCCAACTTGGGCCCAACTTTGGCCTAACTTGCGCCGAACTCGGGAGCCGATGTTGCTGCCATGTCGGATCGAAACGGTGCATTCGGACGACGTTGTGCCGGTATGTAAAATGTGCAAATTACCACAGCAGGGAATAGACTTTTGGCGCCCTGTCCCGGGCGAACATGGCCGCCCCAGCTAAAGCTGCACCAGACTGACAGATCGGTCCTTTCGTATCACTTACTGCTAAACTACCACGCCGCGGCACCTTCGGTGCGGACGGGCATATATACACACAGTACATTTAAATACCAGTAGTACCGCACAAGGTGGTGGCGGAAGTTTCAAAAATAGGAAACCTATAGGAGAGGTTGGTGGTTGTGAATCAGGGATGGCAGAGCGAAGCCACTGATGGACCGAAAGGTGCTTGAGGTCTCCTCTCTTTCTCTCTCTCTCTCTATCTATCTATCTATCTATCTATCTATCTATCTATCTGTCTAGCCATCTATCTATCTATCTATCTATCTATCTATCTATCTATCTATCTATCTATCTATCTATCTATCTATCTATCTATCTATCTATCTATCTCATCTACCCAGCTGGCCTCTCTCTCTCTCTCTCTCTCTCTCTCTCTTCATTCATCTAATTACCTATCTATCTATCTACCTACCTACCTATCTATCTATCTCTCCCTTTCATCTGTCTATCTGTCTAGCTGTCTACCTGTCTATCTGTGTTGCAGTGTCATTCAGTGTAATGTAGTGTGGTGTGGTGTAATTTAGTGTAGTGGAGTGTACTGGAGTGATGTGTAGTGTAATGTAGTGTACTGGAGTGTAGTGTAGTGTAATGTCCTGTAGCGTAGTGAAGCGAAGCGACATCTGAACCTCCAAAAGTGGTCCGAACCCCTAGTGTTTTGAACATTTTTGCTTCGAAATGTCCTTCGCGCCACAACGGCATGCACTTTTTCGACATCCGAACCTCCAAAAGTGGTCCGAACCCCTAGTGTTTTTAACATTTTGACTTCCAGATGTGCTTCGCGCAACAATGGCGTGCACTTTTTCGACATCTCAACTGCCAAAAGTGGTCTGCACCTGGTGTGTTTTGCACATTTTGACTTCGAAATGTGCTTCGCGCCACAACGGCGTGCACTTTTTCGACATCTCAACTTCCAAAAGTCCAAAAGTGGTCCGACCATGGTGTGTTTTGTACATTTTGACTTCGAAATGTGCTTCGCGCCAACCAACGGCGTGCACTTTTTCGACATCTCAACTTCCAAAAGTGGTCCAAGAATGGTGTGTTTTGTACATTTTGACTTGGAAATGTGCTTCGCGCCACAACGGCGTGCAATTTTTCATCTCTCATTTGGCCAGCTGGCTCCGCGCCCGCCGCTTTAGCGAGCCTACTTTTCGACCCTCCGGAGCCCCAAATCATCGGAAAAACACAGTGTTTCGCGACTTTCCTACCTTTTCGCGCATCTGCATCTTCTTTCTTCTGACTCTTTCTCTTCTATCATCTTCTCTCTTCCACTCTTCTCTTCTCTCTGCCTCTTCCCCATCTCTGCTTTTCATCTGTCCATATTGTCGGAAGTTTGACTTCTAAACTTCCTTCGATAATTAAATAAATAAATATATATATACACATTATATAAAGACAATTATAAAATAGATTACTGAAGTGCATCGTCCGCATACAGGATATTCTACCACCATTCTACCACAGTCTGTTTAGTGCTTAGTACTGTATCTACATCTGGCACTTTATGAACACATGTGTATATATATATTTTTGTATAGTATACAAGAGGTACTCTATAGATTTGTCTCCTCTTCTTCTTCTTCTTCTATTACAGTACAACTATCACTACCACTATCACTACCACTACTAGCTCCTTCTCCCACTCCTACCGCTACTGCTACTGCTACTGCTACCATCACCAATACAACAACAAACACTGCTCCTATTACTACTACAACTACAAGTACCTGCTACAACTACCACAACCTCAACTCAGACAAAAACTACAAACTACTACAGCTCGAATTATGACTCTAGCTGCAAAGCAACAGCAACAGCAACAGCAACAGCAGCAGCAACAACAAAAAGAACAAGTCACGACAACCAAGTATTAAAACCAACTACAACAACTACTGCAACGACTACAAGAACTACAAGTATACCACGGAAACTCCAATGACTGAAACAGCACCAATGCAATGACAGCAACCACTGGTCGTCCTGCTCGTCCGGCAGGTTTGGTTCTGTCTCCGGGATGGGGGCTGCTGGCTCTTGGTGGCGCTGAACTGATGCACTACTTGGCCTATGCTTTGGTCAGGAGTTTTGCCAATGCCAAGGTGGCCAAGACGCTAAAAGGTGATTTTTTGAAACATGGAGAGGTTGTTTTCATGGCAATATGATGGGAATTGAATGGCATTTTTTCCGGAAAGTTATCAATGATGATGAGAGTTGATGACAAACCAGTGAATGGACTGGGGTACCTACCAGTGTTTTGCCCCATCTCATTGAAACTTTGGGCAGCTGCATTGAAGGTGATGACGGTCACAATGGATGTGACTGAAGACAAGACAGCTCCAAAAGAAGTTTCAGAGATGTCCACCACAATACCCAGCGCCACTCGGTTGGTGGAAAAACATGTCATGGTTTGTCCCCATGATTCACCTCAAGTATCCCCAACTCCACTCACTGACACACTGATCATGTTTCCATTATTTTCCATTTTTTTCCATTTTCCACACATTTTCCACACACATGGAAAAAATATGAGGGGTATGCTGCGGTATGCTCTATTTCAAGACATACCCACATTGTCACATAGAACCTGCTTCCTCGGGGCTGGATGGCGTTCCTAAGGATCAAGACAGCGAAAAGTCCACTGATGGCAATGTCCCCATTTAAGCACACAGCGCGTGAATCCGGCATAGGTGGCCAATGCTTGAACAATGATGCCAACGATTGACGTCTAAGTGGGAGCAAGGGACTGGGTGTCCACAGTGACATAATGTGTTGTCAACAAAACAGGCCCATATGTGGAAGGTGGCGTTTGTAGCTGAATGTATATAAGTGATGAAAGATAAACTATTTAACTTTAACATTACGGGTGCTGCCCAGAGGTTTATCATGTCACCAACTCTTTAGGGTTTGTTTTGGGGTTGTTTAGGGTTTGTTAGGGTTTATTTAGGGTTTCATTCAGGGTTTTTAGTTTTTTTTTTAAACCACGGTTTTAATGAGATTTTACTTTCAAGGCTTACTTAGGGGTTCATTTCAGATTTTGGTTTTGGGGTTTAGGATTTAGGGTTTAGGGTTTTGTGTGTTGGAAACAGATCTCGTCAGCCATTCGGCCATTCCACCGACATCCCAAAATGCATAAAACACTGGCCCTGGGCAGTCAAAACGCACTTCCAGGGGCAGCACCCCCGTCCTGGCCGTAACATTATGTAACTAGTTAGTATTTATTCACTATCCCTGACTATCCCTGGATTGATACAGGTAGAATGAACGGTCCCAGTGCGGTCGTACATCCCCTCTTTCAGCCATGCGAGCGGATCCTACAGGGGTTCTCTTTAGATTACCTTCTGCCAATGAAACATGAAAATAGAATAACATAGATGAACATGGAGAATCTGCCATTGTAGATGATCAACTATTCAATTATTGAACGTGGGGTTTAGGTTTAGTTTTACATTCCTGCCTTGAAAGACCTAAGAGTGCGCTCCGCAATGCGCCTGAAAAAGCATCCCTTCGTTGTTCAAGTAGAATATCTTGGGCAGATTAAACAGATGCCACACCTGACCCGGTGTGCCTGTTGCTGCAGAAACCATGGTTGCCACAGATTTGATGTAAAGATCGAGTTTTTTACTCGACAAAAATGAGCGATTTGGATGGGGGCGTACAGTTTGACCCCACGCCACTTGAACTTCGGCGCGGATTGTTTGATGTCAACACCGGCTTCACATTTGACCATATATTATATATATTTCAACAAACGGCATCCTTCAGGTCAGTCCGGTTTTCATGAGTCCAAGTGGACTTTCAGCCACTGTTGGCAAATTGTCATAGAAGGCACAGGGATGTTGCTAGAAGATGAGCTCGATACATTTTGAGACTATTTCTTTGAGGGTGGTGCAGCATGATGCAGTAATTTTGGGACCGAGAATTCCGCACATTGTGTGCCCGCGCATGCAGTTCCTAAGAGCTGCACGAAGTCCAGACATGTTCGGTTCTGTTACCACTCGCCTTGGCGCGGGCAACGCGCCAGGCAGGTGCACACAACGTGCCATGTTTCCAATGCCCCGCCCTTGTTGTGTGTTGCAATTTAAGGGCCTGGTGAAACTTTCCAACGGAAGTTCCAAGAATTTTTGCTGTTCAGACTTTGCTCCGTACTTTTGCAGCCCAAGTATCTTCGAGGACCTGTGACCCTGTGACCGCCACCTCTGACACCCAGGGTGCTGGCTGAGTCTTGGTCGGCAAAGATCAAGACAGACTCTTTGCTTTTCTTGTTTGCGATCGATTTTTGAATTGTGGATGTTTCTCTTTTGGAAGACCTTCCCTTATGGCTTGTGCCATCTGGGAGGAGAAAAAAAGGTCACTGCAAGACTTGGGTTCAGATTCAGGAAAGTCACCAAGGTTTCGGCGTTTGTTGCAATTCCCTCATCGCGCAAGTGGGACAGCAGATCTCACGCAGAGGGGTCTTTTTCAATTCCAGGATTCAGCGATGAGATGTGGCAGACAGGTTGATGGGCCCCCAGGTACTGCTTAGAGTCCTCAGCCGGCCTTGAGATATACTCCAGACAGCTAGGAGAACATCTAGCAAAATTTGTTGAACGCTGGGGTGTTTTCACCCTTGGCCATACACTGCCAGATCATGCATGCTTCTCAATTTGTAATTTTGTCCTGCCTTGCGATACGTTCCCAAGCAGGGATATGTTACATTGTTTATGAGATGAAGTTAAATGCCCAAAGCGAGCAAAAGAGACACTCCGCTGGAGCGCAGGCTGCGGGGCGTCTTGTGGCACCGCTTGAAACTGTTCCGGATCAACATTTGCCCCACAGAGTTGCTACATTTTTGCAATATCAAGGAACTTGCCTCAACTCCCAGGCCCCATTTCTGCTATGCCTTTGTTGCAGGTTGCAGTTGCCCATTGATGAATTCCGAGAGAGGCGGGTTCGCTGTGCCAAGCTACTTGACATGCTGATCTCATTTTCGATAAGTCCCAGGGCCGAGCCAGATGGCTTTTGTATGAAGGTAGACATAGGTAGACATAGGTAGACACTGAGCATGTCATGAAACAGCGTGCAAGAGCCACACATCTTCATTTGGAGAATTCAGTGTTTATCCAAGTTTGTGTTGCAGATTAGGAATATGGTGCTATATGGTGCTTTTGCAATCTCTTGCAATCTTCCTGCAGGATTCTTCGAGAAATTCGTGAGAATCGGGTGTGGGGCCCACGAGGGTAGCGTCTGATGGTTCACCACCGCTTCATTGATGGTAGACACGTGTAAAACCACGTGGAAAAAACGACGGCAGGTGACTCACATCCAAGGGGAGACGGGCTGTGGCAAATCCACCCGTTTACCGCAGTTCATTCTGGAGGCGCGTAGCTGGAGTTACTCTTGCTTTTTCACTCGAACCCCCCCAAGCTCCCGGGGCATTTTGAAGCGGTTTTGGAAGCAGATCGTCATGGGCTCAAGTCCCGCCGGGTCTCTAGGCAATCTGTATTCAGCATATCAAAATCCCATATCCCATCATTTTCCAGGCTCATATGAATGTTAGCTTTCGTTCACCCCCCTTGGGCCTCAAGTCCATAAACCGCACATTCAGGGTTTCCATAAATGTGGGTACCCCAAAATGGATGGTTTATAATGGAAAATCCCAATCTAAAATGGATGATTTGGACACCTCCATATTGGAGATTGCTTCAACTTCCACCAATTTCTGTATTGTTGGGTATAAAGTGTACTATATACGGTATATGTTTCAGTCAGGACTTAGAACTTGTCAGATGTGATTCATTTTCTCTAAGAGGCCTTCGTCTTTGTGAATTTTGTTCTTTGCCAACACGAGAATGAGGGCCAAGTACTTGAAATGATTTGAAGATGATGAATTGAGTACTATTTTTTTAAAGATGTATTAATGATAAATGTATTAACGTATTGTTCGTTGCATCGTCCACGATTCAGGATGCCCAAGAGAGAGGTGAGGAGATCCGCATGGTGGTGACGCAACCGAGGCTTGCCGTCAACGTGAAACAAGTTTTCAAAGAACCATCCGAGTAAATTTTTAGCATTCAATTTCATGATTTTTAATGGGGATTCGGTCAACAATAACATACGGCTGAAGCCACAGGTGTGAGTGAAAAAATCCTGTTGCTGTGCTTCTGCAGACTCCCATTTTGTGTCAGAACATAAAAGAAACAGCACAACAAAAACGCAGAAAGTGGAGAGGAAAGGTCATTGAGATTGGGAAGGAGATGCCTCCAGACTCCAGATAGCCATGAATGAGGGCCGCTTCAACAATGAAGGGCTTGAACGGTGAGTTAAGTACATGACTGTAAACATCGTCTTTGCGACTGGACAGTTCTCTTTTGCAGGCGAATGGCTGCAGTCACGTCAGAGCCCTAAGTTTTTATCCAAAGCTGACCAGCCCCTGCGTTTCAGACATGTCGGATTGGACATGTCATTTTGGCAGACAGATCCATCCATGGTCACCCTAAAAGTTCTTGTGGATGGGCTAGGAAAACACCATCATAATCATGACATGTCATATGACCATTATGACCAGCATTTGAAGTGGGTCCCTACAGTTTGGTATCGCAAGAAACTCATTTGGTCCAGGCTGGCCAAGCGCGTTGCCTCAGTTCTTGGTGAGGACCGACCGAAAACCGCTTGGCTGGATTTGTTGAGGACAACGGCTGCCAACATGGCAGGAGATTGGCCAGGGGACTGTGGGATATCGAATCAGGCTGGGCAAGTGACTGTGCTATGCATGCTGGCTGCCTTGTCTTATGGCTACTGAAGAACTGACCCCTTTAAATCATAGCAATTTTCATAGGGAAAAATGATGAAGCCTATGATTATATATGATTCTGATCCATTGGAATTGGGAGCACATTTTATTTTACAAATCCAGATGATATTTGCTAGCCACAGCTCGCCCAGTGGTGACACCATTGACGGGAAGCTCTGCTTTGTAACTGTTGGCTACTTGCTGCAACGTCTGGTCAACAACCCTGAGGCTCGGATTGTGCTTGAAAATGCTTGAAATTGGAAATGTGCTGTTTCACTCTGAGCCATATCTTCCATATCTTCCATTCCAGGGTCGCGTGAAAAATGTCCAGCTTCCTAAAAAGCGCTGTGTCACTGTTGTCCCATCGGAGACTCTTCAAGATCTTCAAGCGCACGGCCAGGATTTTCACCGCTACACACATGTGGTGCTGGATGAGGCATTCCGGACAGCTGTCATTTGGGACGGATGAGCGCCCAAGGACCTGTAGGAGCTGTAGGAGCTTGGATTTGAGGTGATTTGACTCTTGGGAACTCGGCTCCCAAGACCCTGGCTTTCTTGCCTTGTCCAGGTGCACGAACGTGGAGTAGATGCTGACCTCCTTTCCATGGTGATCAAGCTGCTAATGCTCTTAGCCTCAATTTTCGCTGGCCAACTTCAGTTTCCAAACTGTTCCTGGGTTGCCCAGAGTAATCGTGCAAGTGTTCCCTGGGTCATTGAGGCATTGCTGTCCAAAAGTGAAACTCATCGTGATGTCTGCAACGTTGCAGGTGGAAAAGCTGCCCCAACCCCACAACATTCAGCAAGTCCCTTTCACACCCGGGCATGCCAGAAAACGTGAGACACACACACATATATATATATAATATACATATATATAATATATATAATATATATATATATAATATATATGTATAATATATATATATATATCCCATCCGAAATCATTTGGGTAGGATTCTGGATCTGACAGATGCTGAAGTCACTCATGGGAGTTCAGTTCAATGAACGCTTTTGGACTTTTAAATGTGCACGATCCCATGAACACCACATTTATGAGGAATATTCATGGTTATGCATCAGTATGTGATATCATGTGAGTGACATCTGAAATAAATGTGTCTTACATTCTTTCACCATTGTTTCACCACTTGACTTTGCTTCCGCCAGGCATCACTTTTTGCAGACTACTTTGCATCTTTACAAAAAAGCAAAAAACAGCTCCTCGGCCAAGACTTGGTGTTGACGCTGTGACTGGAATTCCAGCAGTCAAAACCAAAAATGCCTGGATTGTTTTACAGAGGCCACAGTGTACTTCCGGCCCAACAATCTTTCCGTGGTTGATACTTTGTATGTATTTGTATGTTGCTTTCTATCTGTAACATGTAAGTATGTAACAAATTATGTATATATATATATAGATACATATCTATTTTTAGTAAGAAAAATGGTCATCATTTCGCACCAAAGTGTTGTTGCTGTTCTTTTAGGTCGGAAGTTCTGGCTGTGGGTGCCCGTTGCCACCCTGTGGAGCAGCTCTTCTTGGACGATCTGCAAGATCAGTGGCTCGCAGCGAGGGAGTAACGGCCACATCTGGGGATTCTTTCAATGGATTGGTGGGAAAAACTACAGGAGACACCTTTATTTGATGGAGAAAACCATGGTTTCCTGGAGACTTTCCCTTCAACCAATCCAGTAATTCTTAGGCACTTTTTTTTGGCCATTCTAAAGGCACCTTTTTTTTTTCGATTCTTAGGCAATTTTAGGCCTACTGAATGGGACTGGTGATGCCGTCGTTTCTTTACAGAGTTTCCAGTTTTTTTCCCCACCTGCCCGGTGAGGGTTGTTAGATTTTATGTCAGTTGCCTCCTCCTCCTTCTCCTCCTCCGCCTCCTCCTGCCTCGTCCTCCTCTCCTCCTCCTCCTCGTCCTCCTCGTCGTCCTCGTCGTCCTCGCCGTCCTCGTCGTCCTTGCTCAACTGCGACCCGCGATCCACAGTGTTCTCTGCCGGACCTCAACCACGACCATCCACGCCCAGTGTTCCCTGCCGGACCTCAACCACGACCATCCACGCCCAATGTTCCCTGCCGGACCTCAACCACGACCATCCTCGCCCAGTGTTCCCTGCCGGACCTCAACCACGACCATCCACGCCCAGTGTTCCCTGCCGGACCTCAACCGCGAGTATCCACGCCAAGTGTTCCCTGCCGGACCTCATGTAGGAAGATATGGGACAAAGAATGTGCAGAAGAAAGTTAGAAAGAATGTCAGAAAGAATGTCAGAAGATATGCCAGAAGATATGCCAGAAGATATGCCAGATAGAATGCCAGATAATGCCAGAAGATATGCCAGATAGAATTTTGCCAGATAGAATGCCAGAAAATATGCCAGAAGATATGCCAGATAGATATGTCAGAAGATATGCCAGAAGATATGCCAGAAGATATGCCAGAAGATATGTCAGAATATATGCCAGAAGATATGTCAGATAGAATGCCAGAAGATATGTCAGAATATATGCCAGAAGATATGCCAGATAGAATGCCAGAAGATATGTCAGATAGAGTGCCAGAAGATATGCCAGATAGAATGCCAGAAGATTTGCCAGATAGAATGCCAGAAGATATGCCAGAAGATATGCCAGATCATATGCCAGAAGATATGCCAGATAGAATGTCAAATAGAATGTCAGAAGATATGTCAGATAGAATGCCAGAAGATTTGCCAGTAAGAAAATGTATAAATGTCATGGTGGGGATCACACGAAGTAAAGTAATTTTGAAGAGACACCTCACGAGATGAAGTGAAAAATGACAGGAACCTTATATATTATGCAAGTGGGAAGAATATGATAATCCCTTATATATTATGATGACTATAATACTATGACAGGAACCTTCTATATATGATATTTCATGTAATTTTCCCTTAATCCCATCCTGCAATTTTTACCAAAGACTCTTAAGTGACGTGACGAGGTTTGACTTTGCTGAGCCACGTGATCGAAGAAGTTTGGACAATGCTCTTGAGGCTTAGAGACCTGGTCGAACATCTTAAAGCCCTCTATCGTTGAGGGTCCTGTAAAATCTCAATAGGATCCTGGTAAGTGATATTAGGATATATTAGGAACCATTCCTATTTGGATTATTAAAGAAACCTATTGAACCAAGGATACTTTCCTGAACGCCTTTTGTACAAGTGCCGGAAATGCAGCGCTGGTTCATTGGTTCCTGCAGGCGTTCGCTAGCCTCTCCAAAGGAAAAGGCCGGCAACTCCATTGATCTCTATTGAGATTCACAGCATCAAGTCTCTATGGTGTTGGCGGCATTTCTTGCAAAGGACTTAAACAAGCATGGGTTTGTCTGAAAATAGGGTACCCCCCAAAGTGATGCGGTTTATCATCACTCTTTTTCCATGAAAGAAACACTTTGGACCCGGCTCTGGCACAGGCAAGGGCAAGAGCAAAGGAGGCAGGGGTGTTGAAGCGACTGGTGTATACACATAGCATATTTTACCGCGTAACCTTTTTTTTTTACAAAAAGAAAAGTATAGACCAGAATCAACACACATCATTTGTCATCAGTGTTGATATAGATTCAGATCAATAGTCATAGTTTCTATAGATCAATTATCATCAGACTTGTATATATATATATATTATATGTATGTAATGTAATGTATGTAAATGTAATGTAATGCGATGCAATGCAATGCAATGCAATGCAATGTGAAGTAATGTGAAGTAATGTGAAGTAATGTGAAGTAATGTGAAGTAATGTGATGTTATGTATGTATGTATGTCAATATGTGTATATATATATATATACACATCATTTATCATCGTTTCGATTTAGATTTCAAAGGTTCAAAGCCATCACCGGGCATCCTCTCCACCAGGTGATGATACAGGCTTCAAACGGGTGCGAAAGCCAAGGGACATTGGATTCGGAATGTTCGGATCATTTGGAGTGATTTGGCTCAGTTTTTTTTACCAAAAATCCGTCCATCTTCGATCCTTCAAATTTCGAGAATGGTTCCCTTCAATAGATCATATATAGATCAGATCATATATAGATCATATATAGATTCTTGAATGATCCTTCAATGTTCCACCATCCCATGTGCCTCCGCGAGGTTGAACCCCAGATCTCCGAGGGTCTCATGGAGGTTCGAATCCTTGAGGAGAATCACGGCGACCTTTGGGGATCCAACTTCTCCACATATGATCCGATATGTATACACACTGTGTATATATATATATATTATAATATAAATTATATATTATGTGTATATATATAATAATATAGTATATATATATACACTGTATATTATATTACATACAATCTAATATTTTTCATTTTTGTACAGCTGGACACGTGGACTGTATATGTTTCGTAGATCAGTACAAATCCAAAGATGTTGATTTTGGACTTGACACCATCCGATGAAGTATTCCGCCATTGATCGCCACAAAATATGGACTGTTAGACTACGCATCAATCGTCTAATTCCCCATTAAGTTGCAATTTTGAGGGTACAAACAATTATCAAAGTAAGGGATCATCCAAGTACCCCCCCAAATCCACTGGTGAACCAACCATTTCCATATGAACAAATCGACTTTGACGGGTATTCCTCATGTTTTTGGACAGGTGACCTGCAACCTCGTGCAGCAGCTTGCACAGCCGGCGTGCACAGTTCGGACACCCGGGTAACTTGGTGACCCAGGTCTAGCCAAGGACTAACCGTTAGAAGTGGTCTAATTTGAACGATATCAAGAAAAATGGCAGAGGATGCTTCTCCAACAATGACTTGTTGAAAGTTTCCTGAATCCTATTTCAGTATATTTCCACTGAAGTCTTAATCGCTTCATGTTTCGTGTACCTTCACTTTGCGCCAAATCGGAGCTCCTTAGGTCATTGTTTTCTTGCCTGGAATTGCGGACATCACGCAACTATTTGAGGTGCTCCGGGGACGCGTGCCATGGATTACTAAGGGGAATGATGCCCTGACCGTATTTCAGGTTGGTAAATTCCAACAACTTTTATACATGAGAAGCGCCAAAAAGATGACGAAGTAGAATCCGTCGCTATTTTCGCAGGATTTTACTTTTCTGTCTTTTTTGGGGGGTTACCCGGCTACCCTCTGGTAATTCAACATAGCTATTAAAAGTGCTCATTTAGAGTTGATTTACCTTCAAAAAATGGTGATTTTCCATAGCTATGTTAGTTTACCAGAGGGTAACTATCATTCGGAGTATCATTATCACTATCATTATCATTGTCAGAAACTGTTATTGACTGTCATGATCGACGTAGATGAACTACTTTCATCCCAACATACTCTATCCAAATACGTTAAACACGACAGTCCTTCGAGTTTTTGCCCTGCCAGTCCTTGGCGCCGCTGGATGACACTCGTGACATCTCGCGTTCGGGCATTACGAAGCGAGCAGATTGCCCAAGGCCATGACTTGGGGATATGATGGGGATATGATTAATGATTATAGAGATCATATATACTTGTATATCCTGGGGACAATATATAGTGATTATAGTGGATAATGACTATCCATTGAATCCATTGACGGGGATATGATTAATATATACTATCAATACTATCCATTGATATATGATAGGATTTGGTTATTGGGATTTACCATGGCGATGGAAAACCCTCATCATTTCTATATAAATGTTGATTTGCCATAGCTATTACCAGCAATGGGGAATTTTCATGTGCAATGCAAGTACCCAACTTGATGTAGATCTGTCATGTTTTAAAATTATGGATTGTCTCCCATTTTTGGACATTTTGGCAGGGAAAAAAGATGAGAAATACAACATTTTTCTGCTCGAAACAAAACAGTGACCCGGGATTGCGGGATTGTTGGATGGTATCCCAATGCCAGATTTGTCATCTCAAAAAGAAGAAACTCCCCTGGTTTGTTGCAGGCTGCAGTGCTGCTTGAATCACCTTTCGAGACGATGATTTCGGTTTTGTGTGATGTTGGCTTCACCTTTTTGCAGTTTCAAGGTAGTTGGGCCAACAGAAATGCTTGGGGAAATTTCTGTCGACTGAGTGGAGAAAGCCCAAGATTTGCCCCAGGCTTCGAATCTTTGCGCTGCACTCCATGATCCCGCGGCAGGAGCAGGAGGAAGTCTTTAATGAAGTTCCCAAGGCCCGTTGATTCGGACGTTTCAAACGTCGGGACGTTTGATTTCTTATTTTTACAAGTTTCAGGCATGATTCGAACACGCAAACTATATCAAACTAAAAGGGTTTATGGCTTGCGAAGAGTTCCCTCAGCAGTTTTGCATCCCTCATTGCTCAAGTCGCCCACCGATCCGCCGGAATCCGCCGGAATCCGGAGCCAGGATTGCAGTCACATTGTTTTGGCGAGCAACATCGCGGAGAGTTCTCTCACACTGCCACTCGAATTTCGGACATGTCGTGATAGGGCTGATATTGGGATGGGATGGGATGGGGGTCGACTTGGAGGCCTGCTGTGAACGCCAAGGCCCAATGTCTGTGCAGTCGTCGACTTGGCCCTCAGACGTTCGGTCCAGTAGTTTGCTCAGGGCCAACATTGTGTTGTCATGGTGCTGCAATCATTCAGAGTGAAGTGTCAAGAACAAAATAGAGCAAAACAACTACCATCAACTACCTAGTACTCTCATTAAGAACTCAAAGAATGCAAAGAATTTAAGAACATACTTGACGTACTGGAAGCAGAACACGAAATACAGAAACCTGTGCTGAGCAAAAGTGCAAGTCCAACGAAAGCCACTGCGAAGATGATTGCATCAAAGAGAGCATTCTTCCATGAGTTGGGGAGCAGAGAACATCTTTTTCTGTTTAAGCACACCATACCATGCTCCCAGGAAATGGTAACTGACTTCAACGGATTTCAACGGTGGTTCCCTAGAGCGAGGTACGACACACGTCGCTTGATGTGCTGCTTGGTGACGACTTGGTGCTCACAAAGCTCTTGTAGCCGAGCTCAGAGAGCGACCGTCCATGGCAGGTGTGTGGAGAAGCATCGCAAGAACTTATTCAACCAGGTAATTAACATGATTAACATGATTAACTAGAATTAGTGAGATTTAGGATGATTTAGGATCATGGATGACCAATCCATGACTAGATTCACTAGATGTGGAGAATTTTTCTGATATATCGGTAGATAATCCATGAACTTCTCATCTAACCAGGTTCTGGTTCGTCCAAGATTCGAACTTGGCAGAAGGGATACCTCCCCCAGTGAAGACTCTCATCAAATGGGAAATGCCGGAGCAAAAATCCAAGACTACATCAAAAGTAATTAGGTGATGTATCTTCAATATTCTTCAATCATCCTCAATCAGTTTCTTCCTTAAAAACCCTGTTGGGTTTGAGAAGACATATACCAATCACGACCATTACGGAGCTGTGCAAGTTGAATCCACCAGCACAACATGATCTCAGGCAAGCAGAGAAGAGGCCGTGCAGGCCGCGTGGACAGATTCCAATGGTATTCCACCAAGGCAATTTCTTGATGGGGACGATGATGATTCACCAGAGGATGTGGAGTATACACATGAAATCACATGAATTTATTCCAAATTTTCATGGATATTCATGGATGAAAGACATAAATCGTGGCTGAGCCGAGTTTTGCTTCACCCAATGTTTGACCATTCCAGCGATGGCCTCCAAGTCGCAGGATGGGTTACCTTGCGACAAACATTACATTGCGACAAACATTCCATGACGTTTCATTTGACTGAAATTACAAGACATGACATTCTATTGCATTGCACAGGATATAGCATTTATGTAATGTATGTAATGTAATGTAATGTAAGGTAAGGTAAGATAATGCAATGTAATGTAATGTAAGGTAAGGTAAGGTAAGATAAGGTAAGATAAGGTAATGTAATGTAATGTGTGAAGAACCAAAGGTGAAAGGCCCACAAAGTCCCCACCTGGCAACGGCCTCGAAAGGGCCACCACGCTTTTCCGAGAAGCGCGGCAATGCGTAGTCCGCAATGGCGCACACGTCCCGCCACTGTAAGGTGAAACGGCGGCAGGCAAATGACAAATTGGAAAGGATGCGGATGCAAACTTCACATGGGGGAAAGTTATTGGTAAAAGGTGTCCGTTTCGGACTGGCAGGATCACTTCGGATCTGTGTTGTACAAAAAAAGGAAAATGGCGTCACACGCCAGAACTGCTCGAAGCGCGTGCTTGCATCGCCATTCGAACCTCTTCATCAGGAACTCCGGCAGCGCGAAGGCGAGCTTCATCATCTAGAATCGCCGAGGCTTCGGCCAGCACTTCGGGATCTTCATCAGCAAGCCCATTCGCCATGAAGTTGTCCATGTCTTGGGCCAGCGTAGTGTTGTTCATGTCATGGATGTACGGGGTCACATAGAAGCTTGCGCAGTTGTCGCAGGCATGCAACTCAATGACTGCACTGCGGTAGAGCTGATAGCATTGATCGTCTAGACGCCATACGCGTCCACGAGGCGCATGATAGATGGGCCGGCCAACCGTGCATCTGTTGTGCACATGATTGTGGATTTCTGCTCGGGCACGGCCTACAACATCTTTCGCTTCTTGGAAGATGGCTCTCAAGCGACCAATCTGTCGAACGTAACCCATTTTGTGCCGGTTCATCTGGCGGCACTGTTGATCCTTCTGCCAAAAACTGGCTTCAAGGCTCTTGAGCTGTTGCTGCAGGTGTCGGATTTCTCGATCTGCAATGATCGGTCCACCAGGGACAGTCAGTTGCTGGACCTGTCGGGTCAGCTCCTCGATCTGGTCCTGCAGGGCGATGTTCTCCACCACTTTCTCATCCAAGCGAGCAGACAGGCGATCGCTTCGGATGTGCCTTTGTCTCAAAACGTGATTTCTTCCAATCCACCATCCATGTACCCATCCGGTGAGGTAGGTACCCACCACAAAGACCACCAAGGTCAGCACCACAACGGCATCCCAGAAGTAGTCCCAGTAGGAAGTCTTCGACTCCTGGATGACGTCGATGTAGGGACAGGTGTCAGGTGTGATTGGATCGCTCAGAGGAGCAGCGGCAGCACCAAGTGGTTGCAGAAGTCCAAGCATGAGAATGCAAAGGGCAAAGCGCAGCAATGCTCGAAGAGAAAGGATCGTCCATACGCCCTCAAACTTTGTTTCCGGGTCGTAGGAGATGTCCATGATCGGGGTGTGCACAATCGGCAGGGTGTCGTTGAAGTTCAGGTCAATGGCTTGGCCAGGACGTGGCTCCAAGTGAGCTGCAACAGCCTTGCCAGACATCTCATCCCAGTCGTTCATCTCATAGTTGATTTCCTCGCCAAAGCAGGCAAAGGTTTCCACAGGGACGTCTTCAGTGGTCTCAGGTTCCTCCACCACTGTGGCAAGAGGCTGCGAGAACTCATCTCTGCTGGCATTGCGGTCGGAGAGCTTCTTGCGCTTGGCCGCGATGTAGTCAGGATCCCAAGACAGCTTGATCCTTCCGTAGCGAAGGCGGTCTGCCAGCAATTGGCGGGTGCCCTCTTTGGTCAGGGAATCTGCATACTGTCTCTCACTGGAGATCCACTTCAAGCGGCCACCAAGCGATTCCAGCCCTTCTCGCAAGACCTTGATCTCCAAGCCAGTGCGCTTGTCTGTCAAGCCACTGCTGAAGCTCTCTCTGTAGTAGCTGTCGTAGAGGGCTTTGGCATCTGTGACAAGCGTAGGCTCCAAAGGGCTCGGCTTGTGCAAGATGTTGGCAAGTGGCTCGTTCGGCTCCAGAAGGTGTTGGTAGAAGCGGCAAACAAAGTCCATGTTGTCGCAGGCCTGACTTGCTGATTGGGCTTCGGCTCCAAGACTCGAGCGGGCAACTCGTGGCAACTTCGATGAGCGCCAGTCAATGATATGGTAGGCTCCTTCGGTGCCATCAAAGACGTCTTTGGAGACCAGCATGGTCAGGTAGCCACCTTGAGAGGAACCGTCACGTCGAATGCCAAATGCTGCATCGACCATCGTGACAAGTCGTAGATCTTGCACATCACAGATGCGTTCGTAGCAAAGTGCTACGTCAGCGTTGAGCTTGGCAAACTTGAGCAAGCGATTAGCATCATGGATTGATTTGACCAGTCCTGCAGAGACTTGTCCAGCCAAAAGAGATGTAGAGCACTGCAGGTGCGGTTGTGATTGCACAGCGGGCCACTGTAAGGACCCAAGCAAGCCTCGCATCTGGGTGACCTCAGACGGTGTCATGTAGTCCTCAGGACCTCGATCACGTTGAAGTGAGATAGGCTTCACCTTACGCAGATACTCTGCGTGATCCACCTTCCATCCACCGGTCGGGGTCTTTTGAAGGCTTGCGCCACAGTACTCCAGCTTGTCCTGGTCCTTCCATTCGCGGAAGTTGAAGATCTGTCGAAGCTGCTTGACAACGTGTTGGTAAACCAAAGATTCTTCAAGTCCACCTCCAAGCATGTCATCCACGTGGATGCAAACCATGCCAACGATCCGTTCGGATCCCAAACACTTGCTAGGGTCAGAGGCTTGAATGTCGGGGAAGTCAGCCTCGCAGATAAGGAAGCAGCAAGGATCCAGCATGTGAGGGCGCAGCCCAATTGATGTCAGTCTCCTTGAAGCTTCGAGAAACCATCGTCTCGGTGCATCGATCTGCCCATAGCAAGGTTTGCGCAGCAGCATTCGGGTCGTCTCATCAGCACCCAAGATGTTGAGAACTTCTCGGGGTAGCTTGACCCAGAGTTGTCGTTCTTGAGGAAGTCCTTGTAGGAATGCTGTTGCAACGTCGGCTGTCCATCCACACCACTGCAGGATTGAAGACAAAGACAGAAACATAGAGCGGCTCAGGCGGCTTGTGGTGGGAGCTGAGGTTTCCACCTTTCCTTCAAGCGCGTCCTGGTCGTTGTAGCCGCGGACCACCAATCGAGCCTTAGCTCGCGGACTTCCGTCCGGGTTCTTGCTCCACTTGAGCAGCATGCGTGAGGTCAAGGTGCGTTGCGGGTCAGCATCCCGAACGCTGGAAAACTCCCAGACTCCATTCTCGAAGAAACTGCGAAGCTCCTTGATCTTGGCCTGCATGAACTGCTCACGCTCGTGCATGGTGAGTCCACGCTCGCTGAGCTCAGAGGAAGCTTTCTTCTTGATGGCCGCATGTTTCTCTTGTCGTGCAACCCTCTTCGCAGGAGTGGTGGCATACATGGCAAGCTCCTTTCTCACAGCCCCTGTCAGTTGGTACACAGTGAGTCCAGTCCAGGCGGCCTTGTTGGGCGCAACCACCGTGTCAAAGCGGTCAGTGGAGACCTGGATGGTGCCATTGGGTGCACGCATCATCGTGACACGAACTGGGTCCAACTGCTTCAAGTCAAAGGGACAGTCCTTCTCTTTGGTGATGTCGTGACGGCGATGTCTGGGCTGCAGGTGATGTCGAATCAGGCAACCAGCTTTGATCTCCCAGTAGTCGTGGAAGTTGTGGGCATCGAGCTGGAAGTAGCCATGCTCATCGATGCTCCATCCTTTAGGAAGATCACCACCACCAATGTCATCGACTGCAAAAGCTTGACCAAAGAGC